TGCTTCATTTCCACTTTTTACATCTGCTACATCTGGCTTCCCAGGGTTTTTGTTTGATAGCTCTTGTCAGCTGAAAATAACAATACTTTGTGTTGGAACAGCAGCTTCCATTCTAATACCTTTACTTATTTTACAAAGGCACTCAGATACTGTGCAAAGTATATTTACTGACAGACTTTGTCAGCCACAACCAAACAGGGCTTGGTTTTGCCATAACATATGATTTCAGCAGGCTGAACCCACACTGCTTGGGAGGACAACGTCCAAGTCAGAGTCAGTCCTTGCCCTGTACTTGCAGTTCGCTGCTTTGCTAGCCACCTGGGGCATTATCAAAGAAGGGCTGAAACTGGAACCCAAAGCACAGATTAGAGTGCTGAGCTAGTATGTCAACACAGACAGGCTCATCCAGGCCTTAGGTCATTCCTTGTCAATTTTTATGAGAAAAACCTACCACCCTGAAGTATGTAGAGATTGCTTCATCTATGTAAAGTTGGTGGTTGCACTGATGGCTGCCACTCTGTGTTACTCTGCAATACATAATAATGTTTCTGCATATTCCTTGCCTTGGCTTATCCAACCTAAAATCTTCAATGTGTCTAACTTCTAAATTGCTCTTTGTAGAAACTAACACTGCTGAAGATGCCACCAACAGAAGTACATAACCAATAACATTTTCAATTTTCCCTAGTCCTAATATTAAATACTGCATAGTAAATCTGTTAAATCCATTGCAACTATAAAGGGAAATTCCAGTGCATTTTCCAATTACATGTGTTGCAGAGTGACACCATGCTGCGAATTTATGTTATATCTATTGTATCTCTAAAGGGAAATTCCAGTGCCTTTTAATTACATGTGTGGCAGAGTGAACAGCCCATGCTATGAACTTATTTGACTCTTTCTTTTTTTTGCTATTCAGGGATATCAAAAATACAGGGTTTTATAATATAGGGGATAATGCTCTTGAAATTTAAAATCAATAAAATAAGCAAATGTCAGAAGATGAAGGAGAGAGGAAAAGAAGACAGAAAATTTTGAACGTATTGCCATAAAAGCTCTTAATATTCTGTGTATCAAAGAAGTGTGTAATAATATCTGTTGTTCTCTGAGAGATAATAAAAGTATCAGTGTTGAAGTTAAGCTGAGCTATCCGACTGATTATTGTTTATTTTCATTTTGTCTCACTGAATAGTTAATTCTCTCACAGGATTATCCTCATTTCTCATAGACTCCAATATTAATGAAAGCTTTAAATGGTGACATACTTTTGGATCACCTCGCTTGGGGCCTGACCCTGTGCCATTAAGTCAAGTGGATCATTACTATTCATATGAGCAGAGGGCAGAACTATCTGGGAGGTTTTGCAGAAAGCAAGACATACTCCGAAAAGAAAGATCAAGGAAGCAGATTGCTAGAGGGCAAAGGTTAGTTAAAAGGTCAGTCCACATCTACAGAAAAAATCGTGAAACATTTCGTTATGTGAAACACTACAAAAAATAAAAATTAAATAGATATTTAAGATGCTGGTTGCAAGAAAATAAAGCCTATGTTTCTGTCTTTACAACACAAGCTGGAAATTTTTTTCTTACTTTTTTAAGTCAATAAATAAATGAATTCAATTATTTTCTTTCTTAAGTTAGACACCAAAGATCAAGATTCCATGGTACACAAATCAATCTCAAACCTACATTAATTATAAGGAAATTTGAAATGATTGTTAGATTATTTTTCTCTACATTATACATCATTATTTGAATCACATTCAAATTGGAAAACACTCTAGTAAAGACATTACTCCTACTTTGTGGAAGTAAATCTGCTTTTAATTTTATTTTATACCTATCTATTATTTGTGTGTATCGTACATGACTCCTTTTCCTGTATACTTAAAATGACTGCTCAGGAAAAGAATTTAAATGTCAACATAATTTATAAACAAATCTTTAAATATGAATATATATAGGTGAATTATATATTTAATATAAAATTATATCAATTTTGATCTAAAATATTTGTCTTATAAGAAAAACGTTTAAATCCTGTGAAAGATGCTGAAATGTAATTATGGAATATTTTAACTTGACTTTACCAATGCTTAAAATGAAAGTACTCTTCTAAAAAGGAAAGTTCTTTGGGAACTCCCCTGACTCCCATCAACAAATACCTTTTCAACAACGCATACTTTGAAATGCTAGAAAAACTGAAAGCCACTTATTTCTCAAAAGTGGATATTTTATACTTTTCCTTTCATTCATTCATTCATTCGTTCATTCTCTGCTATTGAAACAGGCTGAATGGGGCTTGCTATCAGTGAGTTTGAATTGCCAAACAAGTGGCAAGTCTTACTATGTATTTTGAATATCTACAAGAAACATACAAAGAATTATAACTGATCATGTTTTTCACTTTCCTTGATAATGCTCCAGTTGCTTGTGAAAGATATGTCTGGTTCCCCACCCTGGGAAGAGTAGATCTTGAATAGCTGCCCTTAAGAATTAGAAAATACGTGATAGCTTTCATACCATGCCTGTTTTTAGAAAAAAGTAGCATGCTCAGATATTTTATTATTTATTTTAGAAAGGGCAGGGATAGTGTTATATAATTATGTTTAGGATTTTCAGATGTCCAGCCTGGAATGTCTAATGAAGAAGCGCTCCAGCCTCCCCTGCTCTGTGTGTGTGCGAGCCTTCAATTCTTCCCGGATCCTGATTTTGCATTTCTAACGAAGCTGAACTGACAAAGCGTGAAAGTGGTCTAAAAGGAAAAACAAAGAAAGTGACCCTGCTTTCACCGTGCCAAGACTAATCAATATTCCAGAAGCCCCGCTTTCCCCTCTCTGCTGATGTGTGGTTCGGAGTGGGTTGGTTTTCTCCCTTTTTTTTTTTTTTTTTTTTTTTTTTTCGTGCTTTTTTATTTTTTTTTTCCCCGGCCCTGGGCTGGCAGTCTCCTCCCCTTTCCTTAAGTTACAGTGATAGTAAGTTGCCGTATTCCGGAGCACATGCTGATGTCAGTTTTCTCCCTGCCGCTCGCTCGGCTCGGCAGCTCCGCGCTCTCCGCAGGGAAGCCCCCGCTTCATCCACCGCGCTCCTAAGGGTACGGAAGGTCTGAAAAGGTGAGCCCATCCTGTCCTTCAGCGAGGGTTGGAGCGGGGAGAATTTTTCACTCTGTGCCTTTGTATCTTAATTAATGTAATGATCCTTTTGGCTGCACCCATATTCTTTCTTGATCTTGATGTAAATTGTACAGGACAGATTAGCTGCGTTAAACATCCTGGAAAGAAAAGGCACTGTGAAAGATATCTCTCTCTCTTTTATTTTTTTTTTCCTGCGTGTGTGT